AGATATTCATATCTTCACTAGAATATCCATTTCTTGAAACAATAAAATGAGCATTCAAAAAATTATTTATTTCTTTACTTATTTATTCAAAAGGCAGAATTAGAGAAAGAAAATATTCCATCTCCTGGTGTAATCTGCAACAGCTGGGGCTGGATCAGGCCAAAGCCTGGAGTCTGGCACTCCATCTAGTTCTCCCACACCGATGGCAGGGGCCTAGCACTGAAGCCATCTTCTACTGATTTCCTAGGCTCATTAGTAAGGAGCTGGATCAGAAGTGAAGAGCTGGGTCAAAAACCACTGCCCATATGGGATGTACATCTCAGACAGGAGCTTACTCCCACTGCATCCCTATGCCTGTCCCTCAAATAAGACTTCTGTATCTGGTACAAATACTAGAATGGTACTTACCATAAACAATATCCTCAAGAACTATGGGCATCATTCATGTACTCCGCATCAAATATAAAAACAACTGTCTTCACCACTGAGAGCTGATTTAAGAGCTAAATAATCTTTATGCAAATTTTTCATCATCAGTTTTTTGTGGCATGAGACTGAACCACAATGCAAAACTGAATGGCTTTGACAGTATGCTGTTATACTACATCCAATTGTAGTTGTGTTGTAAACACTAGAAAGTCCACACAAAGGAGTGAAGTTGTCCAGTTTGCTGCTTACATTCACTCCAAAGCTCCACGTCGTCCAACATAATCCCCTTGTTGTAAAACATTGAGTTTATGTGTTTACATGTAAAAGATCTAAGTTAAATGGCATCCAGTTGATAAAACTCCATGTAAGCGGGACTACCACTCGTTCTTTTTTTTTTTTAATTATTTTTTAAAGATTTTTTAAAAAGACTTATTTATTTTTATTGGAAAGACAGATTTACAAAGAGAAGAAGAATCAGAGAGAAAAATTTTCTGCCCACGGATTCACTCCCCAAATGGCCAGAGTGGCCAGAGCTGAGATGATCCAAAGCCAGTACCCAGGAGCTTCTTCCAGGTCTCCCATGTGGGTGCAGGGTCCCAAGGCGTTGGGCCATCCTCTGCTGCTTTCCGCAGGGAGATGGATGGGAAGTGGAGCAGCCAAAACATGAACTGGCGCCTCTATGGTAGCTAATTGAGCTTTCATGCCATCCCTGTTCTTTTTTTCTTTTTTAAGCTTGGATCTCTTTGCAATCATTCTGTAAGAAAAGAATTATTTATTTCAAAGGCAGATATACAGAGAGAGAGAGCAAGAGACAGAGATATCTTCCATCTGTTGGTTCATTCCCCAAATTGTCAAAATGGCAGGGCTAGAGCAGAAGGCAAGAGCCAAGAGCTTCATCCAGGTCTCCCAGTGTGGATTCAGGGACCCAGGTACTTGGACCACCCTTAATTTTTTTCCCAGGCACATTAGCAGGAGCTGGATCTGAAGTGGTTCAACCGGGACTCAAAATGGAGCGCTTATCGGCTGCTGGCATTGCAGCTTGAGGCTTAACTCACAATGCTACAACACAGCCACAAACTTTCATTTCTTTCATGCAGCTTTGACTATTCTGAGAGAGAAAAGTAAACTAGAGCTAGTGCTCGATCTTGTTGACAACTGGGAAATGCATTTGTAATATAAAATAGAGTGGATCAGGCAAGTGGGAATGCTTTTCCTTTTGGCAAGTCATAAAGAGCCCTCCATGCTTTAAATCAGACAGACTGCTCAGGAGTGAGAAGAAGGAAGGGGGAATCTTTGATTCTTAATTCAGAAATTTTCTATCAAATAGGGCATGTGAAGGGTCTATGTGAGTCAAACAAGTAAGTGACGAAAGTTCATTATATTAACATGCTATATTTTTTCTATTTATATTTTATTTTTAAAATAAGATTTGAAGAAGTGGTAAAAATGTCTAGGCCACCTTTTCTGAGTTGGTAAAATATTGACATAAATAATTCCCTAAACAGCTGGCTCTGACTTTGGAATATGATAAACAGCTAAAATTCAAATAACATTATGGGGGCCTGGCGGCGGTGTGGCCTAGCGGCTAAAGTCCTCGCCTTCAACTGGCACCAGGATCCCATATAGGCGTCGGTACTAATCCTGGCAGCTCCACTTCCCATCCAGCTCCTTGCTTGTGGCCTGGGAAAGCAGTCGAGGACGGCCCAAAGCCTTGGGACCCTGCACCCACGTGAGATACCCGAAAGAAGTTCCTGGATCCTGGCTTCGGATCAGCATAGCATCGGCCATTGCGCTCACTTGGGCAAGATCTTTCTCTCTGTCTCTCCTCTTCTCTGTATGTCTGACTTTCCAATAAATAAATAAATCTTTTAAAAAAATAACATTATGGAAAACATTATAGGTTATAATCATTTGTGGAGAAAAAGTTTTTAAGATTTGTTTATTTTTATTGGAGAGACAGAGCCACAGAGAGAAGAGACAGAGGAAAAGATCTACCATCCCCTGGTTTACTCCCCAAGTGGCTGCAACAGCTAGAGCTGAGCTGATTCAAAGCAGTACCCATTAGGTTCTTCTGGGTCTCCCACATGGGTGCAGAGTCCCAAGGCTTTGGGCTGTCCTCTACTGCTTTCCCAGACCACAGGCAGGGAGCTGGATGGGAAGTGCAGCAACTATTACACAAACCGGCTCCCATATAGAATCCAGACACTTGAAGGGGGAGAATTAACCAATCAAGCCATTGCTCTGGGCCCAATAGAAAACAATGATTTCATCTAAGTTATGAATGGAATTCTGTTTCCCTAAAATTCATAGTTTCTCCTCAGAATATAACCTTACCTGGAGATAATGTCTTTCAAGAGTGAGTAAGGGACCCTGCATGATGGCCTTATGGCCGGGATCCTGTGTGGGTGGTGGTTCATGTCCAGGCTGCTCTGCTTCCTTCAAGCTCCCTGCTTGTCGCCAGGAGCAGGGGAGGGAGACAGTGGAGGGTGGCCTAAAGCCTTGGGACCCTGCTCCTGCATGAGAGACCCCAGGGAGGCTCCTGGCTCCTGCCTTCAGATCGGCTTGGCTCTGGTAGTTGCGGCCACTTGGGGATTGAACCAGCAAATGGAAGATCTCTCTGGGTCTCTTCTTCATTCTGTAAATCTGACTTCCCAGTAGAGGTGGATAAATCTTAAAAATAATAATAAAGAGTGAGTAGGTCAGGACCAGCTCCAGTCCCAGCTGCTCCATTTCCAATCCAGCTCCCTGATAATGTGCCTCGGAAGTCAGCAGAGGATGGCTCAAGTCCTTGAGCTCCTGTACCCATGTGGGAAACCTAGATGAAGCTCCTGGATCCTGAATGCTGCTGACCCAACCCAAGCTCTTGCTGCCATTTGGAGAATATACTAGTGTTATGGAAGAATTCATGCTCTTTATGTCTTTCTCTGTGTAACACTATTCAAATAAATAAGATTTATTAAAGTTTAATAAATCTTAATTATAAAATTAAGATTTATTTTCTTTTTATTTGAAATGCAGTGTTTAGGCCATAAGCAGAGCGATGGATCAAAAGTGGAACAGCCAAGACATGAACCAGTGCCCATATGTGATGCTGACACTGCGGGCAGACACAGTCCACTCTACCATGACACTGACCCTTGACTAATTAATTTTTTTAAAAGTCATAAAAACTGCAAGGGCTGAAGAAATATAACTCCTGAATAAGAACAGGCTTTATTTTGAATGTATTTGTTTATTTGTTTAAGATTTATTTATTTTCATCGAAAAGGCATATTTATAGAGAAGGAGAGAGAGAAAGTTCTTCCAAATGGCAGCAGTGGTCACAGCTGAGCCAGTCCAAAGCCAATAGCTTCTTCTGGGTATGTCATGTGGGTGCAGAGTCCCAAGGACTTGGATCAACCTCCCCTGCTTTCCCAGGCCACAAGCAGGGAGCTGGATGGGAAGTGGAGCTGCCAGGACAGTAATCAGCACCCATATCGGATGCTGGTGCTTGGAAGTGGAGAGTTAGCCAGTGCAGCCTTTGGGATGGCCTGACATTTATTTTGCTTTAAAAAAAAAAAACTGCTGGCAAGCTACCATACCAAGTAGCTTACAAACAACAGAAATTATTTCTCTGGCAGCTGCAAAGCACCAAAGCAATGCAGATTCACTTTTGTGAGGCCCCCTCTCGGGCTCACACAGTGTGCAGTGTTCTCACATGATAGAAGGGCTCTCTTTGTCTTCCTTGTCCATTCGCAAAGGTCCACCCTGGTGACCTAATCACCTCCCACAACCCCAACCTTCTAACAGTATTCCCTCAGGGCTTTAGATTGCAGGGACCGAATTTGAGGAACGCAGACATTCAGACCATAACATTTGCTGTACTTTTATTTTGTCTCATTTTGTTGTAAAACAGTGAGAACTCTGCCATTATATAGGGGCCCCTTGCTCTAAAACCTTTTTTTAGTATTAATTTTTCATTCACTTGTTAGCAAACTAAAAAAATAACCAGAGACTGTTTGTGACCATCATGAAATCCAATCTAAAGAAATTGTATTTTCTACAGACCCACTTTTGATTACAAAATAATTTATAAATTTATCATTTACTCATATGCCATAAGAAATCTTGTAGAAACATATTTTTCTCAAATAAATTATAGCTTCATAGCTTTTCAATTTATGATGACTAGAGTAGAACCATCTATTCCAATGAATTTTTTTTAAGATTTATGTATTTTTATTTAAAGACTGATTTACAGAAGGAAGAAAAAAAAGAGATAAAGATCTATCTGCTGCTTCACTCCCCAAATGGCTGGAGCAGAGCTGATCTCAAGTCAGGAGCCAGGAGCTTCTTCCATGCTTCCCACTCAGGTGAAGGGTCCCAAGGCTTTGGACCATCCTCCATTGCTTTCCCATGCCATAAACAGGGAGATAGATGGGAAGTGGAGCAGCTGAGACATGAAACAGCACCCATATGGGATCCTGACACTTGCAATGGGAAGATTAATTAATTGAGCCATCACACCAGGCCCTATTCCAATTATTTTTCACATATAGCTGAATTATAAATTAATTTACAAACTCCAAGAGAAATTATTTATTTCACATAATAGAGTTTAAACAACCACTTTCACATCTCATTTAAATCAGGGAACAGAAAGCATTTTCTGTATAGCTACACTAGTAGCGATTATGGTGTATCAATGAACTGTTTAAACACACAAGTCAGGTTTTACATGGATTGCTGTAAATTGCATTAACAGGAAAGCACATGTTAACATGATCTGTTTGGATCTAAGAATCTTAATTTATTCAGTTATTGAAAGAAACGAGTTTTCTGAAAATGTTCTGTGTGGGGGAAAGGCAGGCAGATGGAGGAATCAATGGGCACGGAGCTAAGTGTGGACATGACATGGACACAGGACTTGTTTCAGACTGCGCAAATGCGCCTGTCGGCTGCAGAGGCTCCAGTTCTGTACTCCACTTTTAGGGAATGTGGACGCTTCATATTTCGTAGTTTCTGAACTTTCTTAGGAGTTCTGAAGGTGCATCCCCAGACCAGCGGAAACGAAGGTGCAGACAGTTCACATCAGAGAAACCTTTAGAAAAGAAAAAAAAAATTTTTAAAGATTTAAAACCAAATGAAGAAAACTCAAGCTTATAATAGTCAAACCAGTTGGGTTTGACTATTAGAACTGTAAGAGCAAGTCTTTGACATGAATGATAAATACCTAACTGAAACAGATTAATCTAAGCAGCGGCCTTGGCCTGTACAGGCATTTTTGGAAGGTGAACCAGCAGATGGAAGGTCTCCTTCTTTGCCTCTCTGAAACTCTAAACAAGTAAATCTTTTAAGTAGAAAAAAGAAAAGATAATTTTCTTCCTTGGGAACTAGCAAAACTTCAGGAAGCAGTTTGTCATCATTTATCAAATTCATAAAATGTATGAGCTTTGACCCAGTAATTCTAATTCTAAAAACTGAGTATCCAATTATTTAATTATAAAGATGTTTAAACATTTTAAAACTCAAGAAACAATTTAAATCCTCATCATTAGAGAATTGATTAAAAGCCTTTGACATCATCATTAACAATTTTTTTATATTTACTGTCAGGAAAACACTAAGCACATTAATAAGTGACAGATAATTAAAAATAAATTATATAGTATGATCTCATTTTCAAATTCATTATGTATAAGTGCTTACATAAAACTTTTAAGTTTAAAGGGAACTATCCCAAAATGTTATCAGGGGTTATCCCTGAATATTTGGATAGATGTGATTTTCATTTTTTATGCTCCTTTTTTACTTACTTTTTTTCTGCAAGGAACATGTATGTTCACTATGCTCTTTTTGAAGATTTATTTATTTTTATTACAAAGTCAGATATACAGAGAGGAGGAGAGACGGAGAGGAAGCTCTTCTGTCCGATGATTCACTCCCCAAGTGACCACAACGGCCAGTACCGCACCGATCCGAAGCAGGGAACCAGGAACCTCTTCCAGGTATCCCACGTGGGTGCAGGGTCCCAAGGCTTTGGGCCGTCCTCGACTGCTTTCCCAGGCCACAAGCAGGGAGTTGGATGGGGAGCAGGGCTGCCGGGATTAGAACCAGCGCCCATCTGGGATCCTGGCGCATTCAAGACGAGGATTTTAGCCGCTAGGCCACACCGCCAGGCCCACACTATGTTTTTTGTGTTTATAATGCTATTTGTGAAAGAACAAGTTAAATAATATGTAAAATATGCTCCCATGATTTTTGAAAATATTATATATGTATCATCACCACCAGGGGCTGCTGGAGTTTGGACCCCCTGCAGGATCCTAGGAGACAAGATCAAAACCCTTCAGAGTTATTCCAAATGAGGGGAGAAGAAGCTAGGGAATTGAGCCTGCTACTCCCACCCTTGTTGTCTGGGGTCTGCATTCACAGGACACATTTCCTGGCACTTACTATCTGTCATTTGGTGCCAGGAGGCTTTATTGCCAAAGAAAGACCTTTGGCAGTCTCAGCGTGTATAGTTGAGGACAGAGCTGGCTATGCCTGAGCACACAGGGACCGAGGGGATATGGCAGGACCTCAACAGCATCTGCTACATTCTAATTTTCTTTCCTTCCTTCTTCCTTCCATCCATCAGTTTGTCCATCTGTCCGTCTTTTCTTCCCTCCCTTACTCCCTCCCTCTCCTTTTCTTTATTCAAGATGTTTCACTAAATTACTTGATTATAGAATTGTACTTACCATGGAGCATATTTATTGTATATTTAAACAGAAAGAAAGTAAAAGTGAAATTGTTAGCACACTGGTTTTTCAATGTTGTGCTCCATAGCTAACTAGTTGTAATCAAGAACCAAAATGTGGTGAGAACTATTTGGTGGTTCCTTGTCACAGAAAAGACATCAATAAGCAAACTGCTAGAAAATACCAAGTACTGCTTGAGAAAATTAACAAAGATGCTGAAAAGTAATAGATGAGAAACCACAGAGGGCTTGCTTGATAAAGCTGACAGAAATAATATTTCTTAAATGCTGATGTTATGAAAATTCACCCTGCAGGAAAATGAAGTTACAAATAATCATGCAACTGCACTTTGATATAGCCACTCAGAAGAGCCACTCAGAACAGCCAGTATCTTTTAAACAGCATTAAGAAAATGTTAGCGAATGAAGCCTTTGGCAGAATTGTATTTCTTCTCCAAGAGCAGCTTCTCAGAACCATGATCCTCCCTCCCCTCTGCCACTTCCCCCTTAAGGCACAGAAAGAGCTGGCACCACAATTTATCCTGAGTAAATTATGAGAGATCTGCACTGTGGAATATATATATAAGATATATAGTCTTATATTATAAAATATATAAGATCTTATATATATAACATATTAGATCTTACATATTATATAATATTAGATATGATATAAATACATACTATATAAGAATATTATATACATATTCATTCTCAAATAAAATGAAGATAAATACATAGAATCCTTGAGAATAGCTCAAGTGGGGCTTCAGCATCAAACCTGAGTGTTCAACCCTCCAACCCCAGTTCTGGGGAGCTTAGATTGCAACTAAGCATGGCTGAGACACAAAGCACAAGGAAGCTCCTAGGGTTCAGGGAGCACAGAACTGAATATCTAGGACTGAAAGGAGGACCATTTGCATGTGTGCATCATGTGCATGCAGTTGTGTAGAAAGGCAGTGTGTTTGCTTAAAACACTGTTTTTCTGGAATCCAGGCATCTGCTTTGATCTGTTCTATCATAACCATTTGCAGCTATCTGCCTGGTACAGTCAATGTGTGGACTCTTCAGAAGGATCTTTTGGGTAACCAGCAGACACTTAACTCAAACTCCAGACTTCATTCCCAGAGAGTACAGCATGCCCAAGTTCTCCCCTCAACAGATAGGTCTGAAGTGATTACTTCTAGAAAGACCATAATTCATCACAAGCTCCCGTTATTTTCATTCTCTATACAAGTGTTCAAGGAACATTCAGGAACCTTCCAGAGAGAGGCTAACTTAATGGGACGCTGCCTAACAACAAACAAGAATCTGAAGGACAGTTGCCACATGTGCATCCTACACACTTACACTAAGTTCAGTTGGCTAGATAAGATAGTTCTGTTCATATGCATAGATTTCAAAACCTTCCTGCACCAAAATAAATGTATCTCTTAATTCCATTTCCCATGAACTTTCTGGCATATGTCATATAGGCAAAGAGAGAAATCATACATGATAACTCACAGTGAAACCAGGGCCAGCTGTGTAAGAATCACTGTTCTAAGCATTTTGCAAGAGTCTGCCCATTTGATCTTGATGGGAAGGTACTTATACAATCCCTGTTTTAGAGCTGAGAAAACAGGTGTAAAGAAATTATTAACAGTAGTAATAGGTAATGAGTAGTAGGCTAGGAAGTAGCCTCAGGGACTACAGATGTTGGGAGCCAGGAGTTGAACGTCGGACATACTCTGCTTCTGTAAATCACGGAGTATCTCCAAAGTACCCACAGAGGGGCTTACATCTCAGGAGAGTGCAATGTCTTGGAACATAGTCTGAACCTAGATCGCCTTGGTTCAGGCCCTCCCCAAGCTGAGCAGCCCAGGCTCAGGATCCTCAGGTCTCAGGTTTCTCTCTGTAAAACGACAGTGACATTGGTACCAACATCACAAACTCATGACAAGGTTCAAATAGCATATGTAAAATTGTTATTAAATGAGGTGATGTTCCTACACATAGTAAGCATTCAGTAAATGTGAGCTAGTGTTATATCAGTAAAGCAGAAGACACTCTGAGAATTGTCTCAAGGTTCCCTTGCACAAAACGTATATATCTTCCGGTTGTTGTGTCAGTGCTAAGTATAACCAATTGTACTGTCATACAGAGTGGTATTGTCACACAGGTTGGAAAAGCTTGAGAAGGAGTGCAATATAAACCAGGCCCTTTCGTTTCAGACCTTCTCTGTTCTGCAAAGTCATTTGACACAGCTTACCTGGAGAATCTGGATTTTGTTGAGAGATGAACTTATCTGGGGACTCACACTCTTTCTGCTTCATTTGTTCTGTGGTTGAATCCATTTCCTCTTTCTTTCTTTCTCTTTGTTCATTCCGTTTCTCATTTTCTATCTGTTTTGTATGTGTCTGAGCAGCTTCTTCCAGCATCAGATCCTTTTTACCTCTAACGGCCCAATGCATTGACTAGATTAGTAAGCAGACACATGAAAATCATGTCAATGTTATGTTTTTTTGTTTAAAGTTCATTGTGTGTAACAGCTGACTTATAAGAGCTTCTTTACAGAATGTTAGATTTAACTATATGTACTAACCACCTATTCATCAGTGAGCCCAGATATTAATCAATCAAAAGATTAATTAGTCCTTACTGTTTTAGAAGATCAATGTTATAAGGAAACGTCCATATTATAGTACCTGGTATCAAGGGATCAGCATCAGGGAGGTAAAAAAAAAAAAAGATGCAATTTCTCAGAAAACTAAATACAGATTTAGTATGTAAGAAACAATTCTAACTGTAGACATATATAGTCCCAAAATTATTGAAAATAGGTGTTGAAACAAACTGGAATATAGATGTTTTATAGAAGCACTATTCACAGTAGGCAAAAAGCAGAAACAACCCAAATGTTCACAAATTGATGAATGACTAAATTAAAATGTGATTATATATGTGTATGTATGTATACATACAATGGAAAATTAGTTATAAAAGGGAGTAAATACAAAAATAGGTTACAACCTTGTTAAGCCTCAAAAACATTTTAGTAAAAGAAGCAGGCCAGGTCAAAGTAGGTCAAATATTGTGTAATTCCGTTTACACTGTATCAATTTACATAAAGAGAACTTTCTAGAGATAGAATGTGGATTAGTGGTTGCCAGGGCCTAGGGAAAAAGGGAATCATTGCTAATGGTTTTTCTTTAGAGGTGATGAAATGTTCTGAAACTAGACCTGATAACGGGTAAGCAACATTGTAACTGTAGTTCCTGCTACTGAGCTGCATGCCTAAGTGATGAATTTTGTAATGCAAATTTGACTACAGAAAAAAAAAATAGAATGAGGCTGTGTCTTTGAATATGCTAGAGATTAAGTACTATTTGACACTAGTACTGTTTAACTACTTGATGTGATATCAATGAGTTCCTCAAAGTTCAAACCTTGAAAACTTTTTAAAAAATTGTATATTTATTTTTTTGAAAGGCAGAGTTACAGATAGGCTGAGCCAAAGGGAAAGAGAATCTTCCATTGTTGCTTCACTCCCCAAAAGGCCACAGGGTGGAGCTGTTTTCCCAGGCAAATTAGCCAGGAGCTAGATCAAGAGTGGAGTAGCCGCGACTGAAACCATTGCCCACATGGGATTCCACTGCAGGCAGCTTGGAAACTTAATCACCATTGCAGCAATGTTAAGAAGCGGGCCCTTTAAGAAGTGATTAGGTAAATGGATCCCTGTTGCAATCACAAGCGTGCTTCCTCTGATGAGGGGAAAGGATACTAGGGTCATTAGTGAAAACACAAAAAGAAATTTTGCAATTCAGGGCCCAAGAGCTGAAAACGTGAATGTGTCATAAGAGGGACAGAGGGCCTGCACGCGTGCTCAATGCATTTCTCTTAAAATCAGAGTGTCTGTAGTTTACCTTAGATGAGTGGTGGGCACTAATGACTCAACAGCAGTAAACACTGTGAGAACCTTCAGTGGGAAGACAGTGGAAGATAGTCTGAGAATAGTCTTACCCATGATTATGAGTAAATCTGTATAAGTGTTTCAATATCAGACCCTAGGATCTGCCCATTCCAATTAAAGAAATACTCAGAGGACATATCCAAAAAGTGTTTAACCAAATGTATCAGTGCTAGTCAAAGGATTAATGTAGAAATGATTTTAAACAACTTAGTTTGCTGGCACAAGCCTAAAAAATCACTCATTCCACAGGGAATACTTCTCAGTCCCAGTAGGGTTCTAGATGCTCAGAACAACATTTAGCATCAAGCCAACTGGTCTGTTGTGGAGAAACTCATTTCAATAGAATAGGCATCAAAAAAAAAAAAATTAGTGAAAGCAACTGACACTAAGAGGGAAGGGAAGGGTCCATACAACAAATCATAAACTACACAAGGCAGAATACTGGTTTATGTGTGGAGATAACTAACACTCAGCAGACATCTAGCCCAAATGCTAAGGCCACTAATTCCAACTTCTGTGAAACTGGCATGAAATTATGCTACCTTCATAATTAGCTTATTTATCACCAGCTTTTCTTTTTGGGTCTCTTTTGGTTTTTTTTTCTCTCTAAGAAGTCATCCTCTTACATTCTGTAGGTTGGTCAATACTTAGAAATAAAGTTTATCTATGTGCCAACAAACACTGGAACAAATAGAAAAATCAACTGATTTAGATAAGTCATTTATCAATTGAACAACCACCCCAAATGAACTGGTTATGATTGCCCACGATCACCATGAGTAATCTTTTACTTGCCCAGAACTAATCAAGACACAAACAGGTCCATGTGGAGGTGCCTGGCAACCCCATGTGTCCTCCCAGAAAGTAACCAATTCAGCAGTCAATGTTTTTATTGCCTCTTTATGAAATGTGGCCAGGGATAATTTTAAATTCACAGGAATTCCTCTCTCTCTCTTTTTTAATGTTGTGCTTAGTTGTGAATGTTGGTTTGTACTAACCATGGCCCCACAGTCATCCTAGAGCTATTCCACTCTAGATTTTAGAACAAGAGGGAGGACCATTCACACCTTGGATCCCTTTGGATAAACTATTTACCATAACAAGATGAATTTCTATAAGATTTCTTGGGATAGAAAGATCTTTCTTTCAGGTTATCTCAGGATTTCCCAAAGATAAGGATTGCAACCCTCATCCCACACACACCTTTTTTAAAATCAACGCCACATGTCTAAACTTCTGTGTCCAACATATTCACTGACCTGAGTGAATCCCTAACTTATTTTTTACCAAGTGAACTATCAGGAAGAATTTCTAAAAGAAATAATGAAGAGATACACTTGGAGGAAAAATTACTAATCACAATTTAATCTCTTATGGATGATATGGATGTGTCTTTCTTGAAGCTGTGGCTCTTTGGGGAAATTGTCCCAGAAGAAGTTCCTGTTCCACAATTTTATATACATTGCTGCTACAGTGAGCTGTGATTTATCCTGCTTTGTAGGCATGAGAACTAATATGGCTACCAACTAGTGCTCTTCCTTCCAGAGGGATTATATTACTTAAAACAACAGAAATATAGAAGGGGTGGCCACTGCAATACAGTAGGTTAAACTGCCGCTTGCAACAATAGCATCTCATATCTGAGTATCCAACTTCCTGCGAATATGCCTGAGAAGCCAGGATAGGATGATGGTCCAAATACTTGCACCCCTGCCACTCAGGTGCAAAACGAAGATGGAGCTGTAGGTTCCTGACTTCACTTGACCCAGCCCAGCTGTTGCAGGCATCTGGGGAGAATACCAGCAACTGGAAGGTCTCTTTTCCCCTTCCTTCTGCCCCTGTCATTTTACCTTTCAAATCAATAATTTAAAACAAAAAAAAAAGGGGACAGAAATAAAGGAGTGATCATGTAAAGGAAAGATTTTATGAGATTCAACCATCAATACATATGTGGGGCAAGAGAACATGCAGCTATGTTTAAGATAAATTTCAGTGGAAATTCAATTCCTAAAATTGGAGTCATTTTATTGGCTGACCCAAACAGCGTAATTGAGATGTTTGTCTACAAACGGAGAAACAATGATTCATTAAAAGAACAATACTGAACATGTAAAACTATTGATTTCTCTAGAGTAATAAAAATGAAAGGATAAATAATGAAATACAGGGAGAAAGCAATACAGAGAGTAGGTGATGAGATCCCACATGCAGAAGTAACTGTCAGGAGTGCAACCAGAGGGGCCAAGAGGGCAGCTGGCCCCAGAATTCTGGCAGATGAAGTCCAGCAGAGATGAAGCTTAGTACAAGAAATTCAAGGTCCACTAAGGAAGGCGAACAAAAGGAAGTCAGAATCAGCAAACTTTCATCCAAGGAAGACAGGTGAGAAGAAAGATTGCTGCTACTCTAAAGCAGAAACTTAAATCTCATTTTTGTATCACTAATAACAATAAACCTGAAGCCAAATGCTAGCCCAGCAAAACTGTTTCAGCTTGTCATGAAGACAAACGATGCAAGCAGTAAAATCCAAAATGTAATTACCTTAAGCCTTCAAGCAGTTCATTTTCTTTTTCAGAGAGAGACTTATTTGATTTTATTTGACAGTCAGATTTGCATAGAGAAAGAGAAACAGATCTTCCAGCTACTGGTTCATTCCCCAAACAGCAGCAAAGGCCGGGACTGAGCCAATCTGAAAGCAGAAGCTTGGAGCTTCCTCTAGATCAGGGGTCCAAGGTCTTGGGCTATACTTCACTGCTTTCCAAGGCACAGACAGGGAGCTGGATCAGAAGTGGGACAGCTGGAACACAAACTGGCACCCACATGTGATATATATGCTAGGGACAGAGGATTAGCTTGCAAGACCACCTTCCAAGCCCCAAAGAATTCATTCTTAATGTATACTTGATCTTAGCCAAAAGGCCGAGAAGTGATCATTGTTAATCTAAACTCAAAGCAAAAATGCTGTGTTTTCAGCAGGAAATTAGTATGTATAGGTAAGCCATTGCGAGTATAAATTAAAGCAGAGATTTGGAGAACAGTTTTTGAAAAATTCACAGCTAATTTAATATTGCATGCTAAAAATTAAGCGACAACGTTAAGTGGGTGATCATGAAAAATTAATTATGGGGGCTGGCAACATGACATAGCAACTAAACCTCTACCTGCTGTGCCAGCAACCCATAGGACTGCCAGTTTGAGCCTGGTATCTTCACTTCTGACCTAGCTTCCTACTAATGGCCTGAGAAGGCAGTGAAGGAGTGCCTAAGGCCCTTGCCATTGGAGACCCAGAGGAAGGTCCTGGCTCCTGGCTTCAGATTAGCTTGGCTCCAGCCATCGCAACAATTTGGGAGGCAAACCAGCAGATGGAAGATAGCCGCACCCCCCTTTCTTTCTCTCTCTCTCTGTTTCTCCCTTGCTCTAACTGTGCCTTTCAAATACAAATAAAATTAATCTTTAAAAATGAATTGTGAATTGAAAGATTAAAATAGCAAGAGGGGACTGAAAATATGGTTGTCCAGAGTTGGTACAGCAATGTTTATCTACCTAGTATCATTACAAGTTTTGACTATCAGAGGTACTTCCAAATCCTCAAGAAAAATAGGATTAAAAGTTGACTTTGTGGACTGCCATTGTGGCTTGACAGGCTAATCCTTCAAGCACCAGCATCCTATATGGGCCAGTTTGTGTCCCAGCTATTCCACTTCCCATCCAGCTTCCTCTTGTGGCCTGGGAAAGCAGTGGAGGATCACCCAAGTGCTGGGGATCCTGTACCTGCATGGGGGAGCCAGAAGAGACTCCTGTATCCTGGCTGCATATCTGGCTCAGTTCTAGCCACTACAGCCATTTAGGGAGTGAACCAGTGGATGGAAGATTTTTCTGCCTCTGCTCCTCTCTATATATTTGCCTTTCCAATAAAAAAATAAATAAATTTTTTAAAAAGTTGACTTTAGTGCAAACAAATTTTTTAATCCAAGCACATGAAGGATGTTCTTCAACAAAACCATGGAAAATGTGTATTGTGCAAAACTATGCAGGGATTTCAAATTTTGCATCAGTAGGTCTAACATTATAGCACAGTGGATTAAACTGCTTGCAATTCAGAAACACCGTATCAGAGGGCCAGTTTGAGTTCCATCTGTTTTGCTTCCAGTGTAACCACTTGCTAATGCACCTGCAAAGGCAGTGGTTAGGGGAAGCTAGATAGAGTTCCTGGCTCCTAACCTGAGTGTGGCCCAATCCTGGTCCAACCCTGGCTGTTGTAGGGAGTGAACCAGTTCCACCACCCACCATAACTATCCTTTTCCAGTAAATAACTATCTTTTAAAGATGGCATCAAAATGAATTAATCTCTTTTCTATTAATTTTTCAAGAAAGAGAGTCAAAGAGCTCCTATCCATAAGTTCATTTTCATAATGCCTATAACACCTGGGGCTGGGCATCTAGCTTGGTGGCTAAGACATTCACATTCCATACCAGAGTGCATAGATTCAGTACCTGAGTCTGACTCCTGACTCCAGCATTCCCACTAAATGCAGAACCCAGGAGGCAGCAGAGGTGGGCCAACTTGTTGGTTCCCTACCATCCACATAGGAAATGAGGATTGAGTTTCTGGCTCAGCTCATCCTTAGGAATTGGCACTTGGGGAGTAAATAAACACACTGGAGCTAGCTCACTCTCATCTAGCTAGCTAGCTAGCTAGTTAAATAGCTCTGCCTTTCAAAATGAATTTTAAAAAGAAGAAATAAAATAATAGGCTAGCATAAACTAAAAAGATAGCAATGACCTTGCAATCAATCCAAATTTAGTAGTAAATGCTCAATTTGAGAAGCAAATTTATTAGCACTCCGGAAGCAGAACATACAAACAGGGAATATAAAGAATTAGAGATCATGCAAAGTTTTCATGAACTTATTGAAAGCCCCCTCCCCTTTTTGAAAAAAAACAAACAGACTGGACAATGTGGACACAGGTTCTCTGGCACTGATGTATTGTAGTTAAATGTGGTATATTATTCCGCAGGAATTCCCCTCACAGGGTTTAATGAACATTGAGTTATATCCTTAACTCTGCCAACTTTTTGGTCCCCTCCATCCTATTGCTTCTTTACACTACTTACTGAGTCTACTTCACGAGCAGCCTGTCCTTCAGACATTCACATTATCCCAGAAAGAAACTCACTGTTTTAACTGAGTCAGTCAAAGCTTCCCACTGCTGAAACGGCATCGACATTTGGCTCCTTCTCCAGTGGTCATAGCGGGCTCGACTCTCTTCATTGGTCAAAATCTCTTTTGCCTTCTGCAGTTTCTGAAAAGTCTCCACTGGAAAACAAATCAAGAGATGAACATCTGTCTGTTGCAGGATTACTTTAAATTCCAAAAGCACCAAATGGATGTTGCTAGAATCATGTCTCTGCCATTTACCAGCTGTGTGACTTTGGGCCAGTTCACTTAGCAGAAGCTTTAGTTTCTGCACTTGCAAAGTCTGTCATAACAAACAAGATGCCTGACCCACAGAGTATTCCCTCCCTCTGCTGCCTGCCCCACCACCCACCCACCCAAGGATGAGCCAGGTAATGTTGTGGGTGCTAACTAAATAGATGAAAGCAACAAACACCAGTGGTGGAACAGAGAGACATTTATAGACATTGGACTGGGAATCACTCTTTTCTAGCACTAGTTGTAAGGGAGGGTGATGACCAGCCAAGAGGAATTTGTGACTGAAGAAAGACACTCGGGCAAGAAGGATGACAAAAATTTAGAGGAAGTAGTAATTACCAGTGTGGCTGAAGGATGCAGATTTTAGAAAACAGTGAGAGGGATGAGGGTCCAGTCATCCAGGACTGTAAATTTTGAGTACAGTAAATAGCTTGGTAAGTGCACAGTGGGTGGAAGCTTTGTCTTTGAGCTATATGCCCATATGACACACAATAGAAACTTTCCATTACCCAAAGTCTCTTCTGTCGTCAACAAAGAAAAAAAATCCTCTCTGGAGGTAGTAGTAATTATTGAGTTAACGATGTTAAACATGAGGTTATTGGAAACTACAGAAGAGCAAACAATAAAAAGCATCTTGTCATAGTAACTAACCTGAATGAGCAGTCCTTCTGTGCTGACAACAGTGTCCAGTTGCATAAATAAGCTGTCACTTTTTCTGACAGGAATAAAAACTGATTAAATTATCACCAAGGATGCACAGGCCAGCTACTACTAGTGCTATGGACTGACTTAGCAGCATTACCAGAATGAAAGAAGCCCTGCTTAGAACTATTCTGATGTCAGTCCTCAATAACAATGGATAAGCAGAAGGCAAACAAGATTTTATCTTTCCTGTTACATGGCTTTTCCTTTTTCCATTCTCTTCATCACGTTTAATAAACTGAGTTTTGATTTACATCTGTCTTTTAATATACCAGCTAATCAAATGAGTCACACAAGATCAATAGTTACCAGTTCTAGGTAGAGAACTCATTATGTAAGGTTATACTTTAGGAGAATAAATGAGGCTAGAACCCTTGAAAAAGATTCAGATTTAACTCCTGGGTCTACTTTGAAAATATAGATTCTTTTAACTTCACATTTCTCAAGATAATTTTTATCAATTTAGCCACATTTAAAATAGTTTATAATTGAGAAGCCATTATGAGTCAGACATTCTTTGTAAAAATTCTGGAGAAAAATACAACTGGTAGCAGTGATTTTTATGGAAGGGAAAGGCAAGAAGACTAGGTTTTTCAGCATTGTTTACTGTTTTTATGTTAAGGATGAAAAGCAATAAAGTTTTCCCCCAAAATTTACATGTTTATTTGAAAGGCAGAATGACAGAGAAAGAGGGACAGAGAAATGCAGTTCCAGGTGGAGTTCCTGGCTCCTGGCCAGCCACAGGTGCTGCAGTTACTTAAGGAGTGAACCAGTGGATGGAATCACTTACGTGCACTCCCTCCCCCTCTATCCCGCTCTGCCACTCGCCCCCTTCCTCTCCTTCTCTCTGTTTCCCTGCCTTTCAAATCAGCAAATCTTTAAAAACAAATAAAATAAAAAGTTGTGCTGACCCAAAGGTTACAACAAATTTCAGCTACAAACCCAGCAGAGGACGATCTTGATGTCTGTGTACCTTTGCATTTTAAAGAATGTTTACATAGTCCAATGTTTCTCTGAACAGCAAACCTTGAGGCAGCTCACACAAGAAGATTCCTATCACTATGGCAACAGAAAGCTGCAATTGTTGCACAGTGGTTCATCAGGTATCCCAAATGGAAATTGTCAGGGACAGAGAAACAATTCAGAGTCATTCTCCAATAGAAAAGAGCCTAAGAAAAGAATAATAACCCAGGGTGCTCACTTTGGCAGCACATAGACTAAAATTGGACCAATACAAAGAATAACCTGGAGAATAACATTAGTTGTTTATCAAATGTTTATAATTTTATGCTTGGATACCTATCTTATATTAACTCCAGTTCAGACAGGTATTTAATATCTCCCAAAGAAAAATTCATTCATTTATTCATCCATTCACTCATTCAAGAAACTGTTCACAGGATAGGTGTCTGGCCTAGCAGTGAAGGCACCTGCTTGGATGCTCACATCCCATTTTTCTATGACTAGATTGGATTTCCAGTTCTAGCTCTTGATTTCAGCTTCCTCTTCACATATACCCTGGGCCATAGCAATGATGGCTCAAGTGACTCATTTCCTCCATTGAGTTCCCAGATCCCGGCTGCTGCCCCAGCCTGAGACCACTGCAGATCTCTGGGCAGCGAACAGCAGGCAGCATTGTTGTCTCTTTTCCTCCTCTCTCTTGACCCCTTCCTTCTCTTCAAATTAAAAAAAAAATGAAATAAAAGTTTTTTTTAAAATCACACATACATGTACATTATACTCATATAGTCAACATCATCATCAAATTTAATCTGAAGATAAAATCAGGGAAGAAGGGCCCAGTGCGGTAGCCTAGCAGCGAAAGTGCTCGCCTTGCACACGCCAGAATCCAATATGGGTGCCGGTTCTAATCCCGGTAGCTCCACTTCCCATCTAGCTCCCTGCTTATGGCCTGGGAAAGCAGTTGAGGATGCTGCATCTACTTAGGAAACCCCAAAGAACTTCTTGGCTCCTGGCTTCAGATCGGTTCAGCTCTGGCCATTGCAGTCACTTGGAGAGTGAATCGGCAGACAGAAGATCTTCCTTTCTGTCTCTCCTCCTCTATGTATAGCTGGCTTTACAATGAAAATAAATACATCTTTAAAAAAAAAAAAGGATCAGGGAAGGAATAAACAAGAGACTCCAAGTGCACTGGCTAAGTTTTAAGCTGGTAGTAGACGGGAATCTGTAATACAATGCTTTATTTCCTTTTGTATATATTAAATCACCTATTCGTGCATAATTTTAAAAAAAAAAAGCTGTGTGTGAAGCAGTTAAAGGAATGCTGTCAGAATCATCCAGCCATGGAATGATGATGGCTCACCCATGGCAGTGATGGCAAAAATGGAGGGAAGAGGACACAGTGGAGAGAGATTTGGAAGATAACTCAGTGGTCGGTCAGAAGAGACAGGAGACTGCCTGTTCAACTAAGTGGATGGTGGTGGCATTAAGATGGAGAAACACAGAAAATGAAGCAAGGCTTTATACAGGACATGAGGAGAATAGCAAGCCCAGTGTCGGATAGAGTGACTTTAAAATGTTCCCAAATGGAGAGTTGTGAAAAATGATTGGAACTACAGTCTGAAGACAGGGAGCACCAGCTGAATTAAGGATAAATTGGGATCTGTCAACAAAGAGCTGTGGATAGACACCACAGACTTTGATTAGGCTCCAGGGATAATGGAGGGCTCAAACTGAAAAGAAAATTTAGGGGGTGGGGGAAGGTATAACAACAGAGAAGGAGTCACAAAGGAGACTGGGAGCAACCCAAGGGGCTGGAGGAAAACCACGGGCATGTGTTACCCTGGAGGTTAAGAGAAGAGTGCTTCAGGAGGAAATGTATGGGATAATGAACTTCACACAGTTCGCAAAAAGTGGAAACATAAACTAAGTTTATTTTGGTGTAAAACAAATCTGGAATCCCCATTTGCATATGCAATCACCAGTGACAAAATTTGATATAAACTCAGGTACTATCCAGAAACCATTGAATTTGGCAAGCAGGAAAACTTCGGCTCAGTTTTTTACAAAGGTGATGAGGAAGTCAGAATGAGACAACTGAAACATGGGAGAGAATGGAAGTGCAGACGTCAACGGTGAACTTGGTTTTTCTGGAAGTTCGACTTTGGAAAAAAGAAAGATAGGAAAAGGGAAGGAACAAAAAGCAGGCCGTTGAAAGACTGTTGATTTATTAATATTTTTTCAAGCTTGAACTTAGTATATTTAAATGATAATGATATGATCATAAAGAAATAAGAGTATGAGCAGATGGACATATTCAAATCACTCAAAGTTTTGAAAAGGTGGCAAAGGTCCTACACAATCATCTCTCCTCCCACCTTCTAACACTAAAAATAATCTTTGGAATTAGACGAAAGAATAAGTTTGAACATGACAGATAAAAGAGCATTTATTTTTCAGATTCTTTTCTGAGGGTTGTATGTGCCAAGTGCTTTCTTGTGAAACAGACATTGTTAAGTGCTTACCCGCTTTGGAGTTTTCTGGATGCTTGTCAGGGTGACATTCCAAAGCTCTGATCTTAAATTCTGCCAGGATTTGTTCAACCTGAAACAAAAATCAGTGTTGAAATTAAAGAATCCAACTTAAATGACATGAAAGAAGAAAATGGACATCATTCCTCCCCAAAACAGCCATGACTAACCAACCTTTTCACTTTGATACTTACATTTCCAATATAAATTTTTACATTAAGAAAAAAAAATCCAGGCTCAGCATAATGATTCAGTTAGCTGATTCTCCCTCTGTAAGTGCCCGCATCCCATGTGGGCATCAGATCCTGTCCCAACTGCTTCGCTTCCCACTAGCTCCCTGCTTATGGCCTGGGAAACTAATGGAGCATAGCCCGCATGTTGAACCAGGAAGAAGCTCTTGGCTCCTGGCTTCAGATTGGATCAGCTTCCATCACTGAGGTCATTTGGGAGTGAACCAGAAAATGAGAAATCTTTCTTTCTGTCTCTCCTTCTCTCTGTAAATCTATCTTTCCAATAAATAAACAAATAAATAAATCTTTAAAAAAATAATCCTTGGGGCAGGTATTTGACCCAGCAACTGGGACGCCTGCTTCCTAGGTTTGAGTGCTTGGGTTCAAGTGCTGGCTCCATTCTTCATTCTAGTTTAGTGCTGATGCACTCCTTGGGGGGGCAGCAGGTGATGTTCAAATTCTTGGTTCCCAGCTACCCACATGGGAGACCCAAACTGGGTTCATGGCTCCTGACTTTAACCTCGGCCAACGACCCATCCATTGCCGGCATTCAGCAAGCAAGCCAGTAGATGGAAGTGCTTTCACTGTTTCTGTTTTTGCCTCTTTTTTTTTTTTTTTTAAATCTCCCTTTCAAGCAAATTGAATAAATAAGACATAAAATACGAAAATAAAACAGAAAAAAAGGCACACATGATAAGTAAAAATACTATTACCAGTCATTTCATAAAAAGAAATGACTCTTACCTGGATAGGCCATGCCATTAACAGATCCAGAAAAAGGATTGCTGAGACAGTCATTTTATTTTCCTTTTAAAAGATGCCACAGTGTGTGTGTGTGTGTACGATTATTCCCAGGAACCAAGACATTAAACTGTGTTAAATATTATACATAAGCAATGGATCTTTTTTAGTGGATTGAAAAACGAATCCTCCTTTTTTGTAGGCTGAAAAGATAATAGCATGGCTACAAGAAGACTGACCAAATCATTCAAGGATATAATGACCCTTTCTTTGTAATCCAATGCATATTTTTGAAAGCCCAAATTATAAAACTAATCAAGTGAAATTGTGTTTCTATTATTTTAAATAATTCCTTCAACACTTATTGGGCAATAGGATAATCCAAAGTCTGAAGACATATGATAAAATCACAACATGTCTTTCCCAACTGTTGTAAGTAGTCACCACCTACATAAACATGCAAGGTACACATCTAAAAGAGACTTCAAAACTATTCTCTGAAAGGTTCTTTTATTTTTTAATCTTCAGGATACCTAAAATAGTTTCTCAGGCAAAACTAGAAATGTTAATCCTTTATATGCAATATCACATCCTATTCTCAAAACACAGCTAACCATACTTTATTGTTAAGCCTTTGTTCCTATGAGAAATAAATAAATATAAAAATGTTTTGCTGGAAATATTATTTATTAGATTTTATTTTCTAAGCTTGCTATTTAAATAATATTTATATGTTCATAGTTTTAACAGTGAAAACAAATTATATTGTTTATATAACATAAAAATATGATATGTATATATTTTACCAACATAATTAAATAGTATCTGCTGACTTAATAGTAATGACTTCTTTTATTGTCACCTCAGTACCACTTAAATGATTTAAAAGTTCATAATAAATAAAATATTTAATAAGAAAATAATTCAATCATGGTAAGACAGTAAAGCAAAGTATCTTCTATTCATTAAAATGTATTTAAGATCAAAGAGAAAACTTTATTATGTTAATGAGTAAAAAGGAGAAATCAATGAGTACATTTAACAGACTCACACAATTGTCTTCAAAATATAGATATAAAGACTAGATTAATATGTCATAATATTAATAGTGTCACCTTTGATAGAATTGTACATTATTTTTCCATAACTTAGAAAATTCCTATAAGAATTACAGAATTTTCAGTTTATTTCATAAACCATCCCTTCAAGAAGTAATTTCTATTTTGCAATGTGAGACGCTAACATTAAAAAAGATGCTGTTTGACTTATCATTTAACTGCTCACAAAAGTCTGCATTTAAAAATTTTAAAACCACTAATTTACTAGAAATTTAACTTTCATCGCAACTACAATATGAATTAGAAAATTAAATATATAATGTGTGTAGACTATGAAATACCGCCATCAGCCATTACAATAAAATTTCCGATATATATTTATATTTAGTACATTGTGAAACAAAGCAAATGACCATTTGCCAGAATAAACAGTATTTAATCAGAAGCCTCCATAACACTGCCACACAACACAGTTCAAGAACCCAACATTTGAATCCTTGGCGGTTTTTAGCCAAAAGTGCTTTAGAAGTCAAGGTTTTTAGGCAATTCAACTAAAAGTCCTAAACCAGAACTTAAACTACGGTGGTGAAAAAAGCACCGCGTTATCTCCTGGCTTACCGAAGATAGTTCATCACATCCCAGTAACGTGTAATAATCTTCGGCGTCTTCCGACTTGTAATTTAGTATCGCATCCATTTAGATTATAAATCAGCTTTTCTTCCCGCGGACAGACACTACGAGCTCTACACTACCAGGAAAACCTCTTTAAATCTGAACTGGAGCAGCCCGTTCTCAACGACAAAAACTAGCTTTAAGACTGACCAGCAGTCAATACGGCAGATGTCACCGAGCCCTTTGTCAACACTACCTCTGGTTGGCTGTTTACAGAAAAGAAGGGGCCGGGTGCTGGAGGTCGCAGTGCGGCCTGGGATCTGTAGTTTGAGTTTGCGCCAGGCAAACAGGTGAACAGAAACAACCCATATTCACAGATTCCCCGCAATGATCTCCAGCTCCTCTCTTTGGTTGTCATTTTCCCTTTCTTAAGGTAAAATGTGAAGCCCTGTAGTAGGAATCTTAGGATTTGTTACTAAAAGTCACTAGTGTGAGTGCTTTTTGGAGTGTATAAAAACGTTTTATAATATTAAAAACAGTTTCAGCATAGATGGAAGTAAACCAAGAGAATTTTCATCTCTGTGATAATGTATTCACTTTGTATACCTTTAGGACCTACTTTGTGTTCAGCAAGTTTGTAGAAATGAGGCAAACGCCACAAACTCTCGTTCTTGCAGAGAAGAATGAAGGTAGACCAGAAGCATGGAAACAAGATCATGTTCTGTGCTACCCAGGAAATGGAAGGGGACAGTGGAAATGTCTGATAAGGGAAGGTGCAGTGCGCTTCTTTTGGATTGCCGCTCTGCAGCCCATGAGTGTCCCCAGCCTAGGCAGAGACCAGGGAAGCTGTGCCCTAGAAAAAGCCACTCAAGTCTGGGATTTAGAGAAAAGGGTGAATGGGAAGGCAGAGCACATATTAACTGCCTTTGCCCTCTCATAAATCATCAATAATTTTACACCTAGCCCTCTAGCAGGATCACGAAGAGATTTTGACATATCCGTGTTCGCATAGCGTTATTCACAGCAGCCAAAAGGTAAGGATGGCATCACAAGCATCTATCAATGAACAAATCAATAAACTATGGTTGATACTTACAGAGGAATATTATTCAGCCCGAAAAAGGAAGGATATATTCATTCGTGCTACAACATGGATGAATCTTAAAGACGCATTTGGTTAAGTGAGCCAGGCACAAAAATGTAAATACTCTATGATTCCGTTTATATGAAATGTCTCGTGTAGTCAAATACATTGAAACGAATTAGAATAGGGGTACCATGAGTAGGTGAGTCATTGTTTAGCAGGCAAGATTTTCTGTTTTGCAGGATGAAAGATTTGTGTGGGTGATGATAATGGTTACATAACAACATGGATGTGATTAATGCCATTACACTGTATACATAGGATAGATAAGGTGGTAAATTTGAGTTTTACATATATTTTATCACGACTTTTAAAAAATCATCCAAAATTTCTCAGACTAAATAACATTGGTCAAAAATCTCTGGCTCTCCATCCTGAGAAGAGTCAGGGAAATACTTTCATGTTTTTCAAAAGATATTTAAAAAAAGAGAGTCTAAGAGCAATCCTGGTAAGGTTCTTGCTCAGATTTTTGGTTTGGTTTTGCGATTAGCAAATAAGTGTATAGAAAAAGATGAAGAAACAGAAATCTCTCCACCTGATAAACCAGTTTGATGCTCAGATTTTATTAAACACAGTTTCAAAGGTCTTTTTCCTGAACTATCATATTCTCACCATTACATATATTAAAGTTAGCAAAAATGCTAGACACATCCAACAACTGCTGGCAGCAGTTTGTACAGCTTTTCTGCAATGGAAATTGGCACATCATAAATCAGATAATTTTACAGGATCTTTATCCAAGCAACTGTAATCCAAGGAGATTATTCAAAGATTATGATGTGTGCAAAGATATAGCCATAATAATAGTTATCCTTATAATATTGAAAAAAAATTTAGAAAATAAAATAAGCAAGCAAAAATACTGGTCCACATACAGCAATAAAAGTGACATAGAAACTTATTTAATGACTGGAAAATGTGAATACTTTTTTATTAGCAAATAAGGATTACACAACAGTGTTACTGCTTTGAAACTTCACTGAACACTAAGACTGAGTAAAATTCGTGCCACTATTTAATAAGTAAAAAAAAGTGGGCGCTTCCCCAGCTATAGGTAATGGCCTAAGTTGCATTGTACCTAGGCAAATGTCATACTGTTGGGAGAAAAGCAGCTAATAGCCTGTGGGCATCCTGGTCCTGGTTAATGCCAAATTTGTGTTAACTATACCAGTGCGCCAGCATAGTTGCCTATTTTTTTTTTTTTCTTGAAAGGTATGAGGTGCGGGGGCTGGGGGGCCAGATGCTGGCATGCGGGCAACACCAGCACACTGGCAGGTTGGGTCTGGAGACCCACAAGCAAATGTACACAGGCCCTGGGCAAGTAAGCCGGGCAAGTAAGGCCAGCAAGCCACATCACCAGAAGACTGGGCTTGGGGACCCATGGGCTCGCAGACATGGGGGGCTGTGGATTGCTCAGGGAAGAGGGTTTGGAGATGTATGGGAGGGAGGACTGCTGAGGGAGAATGTGACAGGTGAGGAGTGCCTTCTGGGTGATTTACACTGCTCACTTGAAGGTAAATGAGAGGGCTGAGACCAGATGGTTTGGAGGCAGGAAACCAAAGATTCTTTCAGGTCTAAACCAATACACCTTCCTATGTGACAGAACTGAGTTAGGTTTGTTGGTATCAACCACTGCCTACTGGCACACACACAAAAGCTATGGCTGGGGGAGCGTACCTGCAAGCCTCAACCACAGTATCCACCAGTGAGTGTTGGGGCTGGACCGTGACACTAACCAGCACATGAAAAACCTGGGTCTTGGAGCATTTTCTGTGGGGAATTGTGGACTCACCCCTGTGAGACTGCCATACCAGCTACTTTGCTGGAGGGCTGGGATTGGTGACAGGCCAAGCTAGACATGACCGTGGATCTCAACAACGCTCATGGGTGCTGGGGTTGGGAACAGACTGGGATGGTACAGGCTACAGTACACACAGGCACAACCAAGAATTGGGTGTAGGGCAGGCCAGCCACAACATCTACCAACACACACATAAGTCAAGACTGGGAGTCAGACTGTGCCAGATAAGGACCTAATACCCACTGACATGAGTGAGATCTGGGTCTAGGAGTGGACATGTTGGGGGAAACTTGGGCAACTCCCCTGCTGAGCCATAGCTCCCGCTGATGAGCACATGAATCAGAGCTGGGTTTTGCTGGGTAGGGCTGCTTCACTTCTCAGCAGGTATGTGTTGGCCCTATAAAAAGCAGACCAGGCAGGGCCAAGCAAAACCATAGCACACTGGCATGAGGGAGGGCCAGGATGGAGTGCTGATCATGCTGAGCTATGCTCAGCTATCACATCTACCAGTTTGCATGATAGCCGGGGATGGGAGCAGGCTGGGCAGAGCTGGACTGCCAAACCCACTAACAATAGTTGGGACAGGGAGCAGGCTGGGCCAGGCCAGGCTGGCTGGGTTGCAAAGGCCAAGCTGAGTGATGGGTTATGCCAAACTGGGTCAGAGGAATCAGTGGCATGCACAAGATCTGTAGCCGGGAACGAGCTTTGTCGGGGAGCTAAGGAAATGCTCCTTCCTGACTGTGGTTCCCACTAGTGAGTACAAGAGCTGGAATAGGGGTGGCAAACTGGGCTGGGCATGGCTGTAGCATCCCTCAGCCTGGTGTGGGATGGGCCCAGGATGTGCCAGACTTGTCTAGGCTCCAGCACCCATTGGTGCTCCCAAAAGCCAGGATACGTGTAGGACAGGCTGGCTAGGTCACAGCACCCACTGAACAACACAAGAGCTGGGTCTGGGGGTGGGACGGGCAGGGCTGTAGTACCCAATGGTAAGAGCCAAAATGGTTGAGGCCGTCAGCAAGGCCACTGTTCCTTCCAGAAAGGGCCAAGTCAGGTTAGGCCAAGGCCCCATCAGTGTACATGAATGAGATCTGCCAATGGGAGTTGACATGATATAGGAGCTTGGGGAACTCCTCTGTCAGGATGCAGTCCCCCAACAGGTTAGCACAAGAACCAAAGAATAGCCCAGACCAGGCCAAGTTACAGTACTAGCCAGCATACGTGTGGATCATGTCTGTGGGTGGGCCCGGCTGGGCCAGTTCATAATATCTACTGATAGATGTAAGAACCAGGATAGGGTGCAGGATGGGCCGGCCAGGTTGGTCAACAACACCAACCAGTTCACATTAGGGCCGAGACTGGGGCTGGTTGCTGGGTTAGCTGCAGCACCCACCAATATAAGCTGGAACTGGGGGGCAGGCCAGGGAGAGACCTGGCTGTAGCACACTCTGTAGCTACAGATGCTCCCCTGCTGGGCCACTGCTCCTGCTGGTGAACATGAGAGCTGGGATTGGGGGCAGACCAGAATGGGCAGGGATACAAGACCCATTGGCCTGCATGTGAGCTTGTTGAGGGAGAGCCAGGCTGGGCTAAGTGACCATATCCACTGGTGCATGCATGAACCAGAGTAAGTTCAGGCTGATTGAGCTTTGCCACTTATCAGCTGGAAAATGCTGGGAATTGGGGCACATCCTATCAAACTGCACTGCAGAATCACTTCGAAAATACAAGATCTGGGATTGGGAGTGGGCTCAATTGGGGAAACTGGGCATCTCTCATGGGTTGCAACTCCCGTTGGTGAGCATGAGAACAAGGGCTAGGGGTTGGCCTGGCTAGACAGGCTGTGGCACCTGCTGGTCTGAGTGTGGGCTGGATAGTGGGATCAGTCGGGTTGAGCTAGGTTCTAATACCCATTGATGTGTATGAGAGCTGAATGGGATTTGGGACAGGCTGCATCAGTCTGCTACACATACCAGCATGCACAGGAACCAGGGTTGGGAGTGGATATGGTAGGGATTACTGGGAGTTGCTCTGACTAGGTTGCAGTTCCCACTGGTGTACATGAGGGCCAAGTGTGTGGTAGGCAAGGTTAGGCTGGGCCGCAGCATCCATTGTTTTGCATATGTGATGGATCTGGGGACAAAACTGACCAGGTGATTGCAGCCACCAGGGTGTGTGTAGGCTAATATGGAGGATGTACTGAGCCAGACCCCACTCTGGCTGGCACACACACAGGATTCAGGTTGGGGTCACTTCTGGTGAGGTTTCTTTGGGAACCCTTCTAACTGGATCACTGGACTCCAACCACAGTAAA